ACATTAAAACAACTCTTTGAATACATTTTTCTATCTATTATGAATACTAATCTATATTACTGGTCAAAATTAAATAATAGCCAACAAAGAGTTAGATGGTCCATATCTAGTAATCGCATTGATGGCTAAGTTTTCGGATCTGAGTGACCAATAAACGAATTCAAATAATCTTTCCATTTTAAAATAGACAGGGTTTAATCGGCTCTTGCACCACACCAATTAACTTAAATAATCATTGATTGACTTTGAGTAGCTTAGTGGTTTATCAGTAGTGAGACTACCGTTCTTTGATCCAAAATTTCAAGTAGTTAGAGTTAAAATGTGATTACGGCAACAACAACAAAAAAGCATGACTTAGACATGTGAACCGAGTTTTATTTTTTCACATTACGATTTTATGGTTTTGCGTTGACCAACTCAAGAAAGCGAGTTATGAATATAGTGGTTTAATTACATCAACAGGCACAATTGCAAATTATATGCAATATATAGTCTCACACTTTATTTCATGGGATTCAATCAACAAATTTCACATATCATAACTCAAAACGCAAAGATAAAATCAATAGAAACCAAACCAAATGCATTGATCATAAAATTCAAAAGAGAAATTTCAAACACATGACAACAAGTCCAAGACCAAACCCTAGTCCAACTTTCCTCTCACCGGCGCCTGACTTGTCCGACGGGGACGCAGCCTTTTTAGTGGAGTTGGAGTCATCGGAAACTCCAGTAGACGGTGATTTCGGGGCAGGAGCAACTGGCGAAAGCTTGTGCTCTCCGAACATCTCACCGGGCAACAAAACCATGTCAACAACATAAACTGCGAGAGGACGTTGTTCTCTCAACGCATTGCTGATACGTGTCTCCACGTAACCGGTTGAGACATTGACTTGGTTCGCTTGACCAGTGAAGTTAAGCCCGTAAACACCGTTGTCTCGGCCAGAAGCTTGAGTCCTAACGGGGTTACTCACGGAAAGAAGATCGTCCAAAGTGTAGAATTTGGGACTAATGTGGTAGAGAATGAGTTTGACTTGTTCGTCTGAGCTTAACTTGTTTAGGGTTCCGGGTTTAAGGTTTTGAAAAGCGTTATCCGTTGGCGCGAACACGGTCATGCCTTCGGATGAACTGTTGACCTGAATGTTGACTTGGTTACCGACTTGAGTGATGTTCAACAGATGCATGAAAGTAGTGAATTGACCACCTTTTTCGAGGATCTGTGTGAGGTTGATGGGACCAGCCGGGCCCGGAGCAGGGGCTGTCGGCTGAGCCATTGTCTCGGTTGAGAGAAGCATGGCCGCGATGAGGAGGAGAGGAGCTAGAGCTAGCCGAGAGTTGGCCATTGTTGGTATGTTTTGTTTAATGTGTGAAGAGTGATTGGGAAAGTGAGATCGGAAGGGACTGGTTTATATTGGAGTAAAATGTTTGTTAGTGATGAGTTGTGACTTTGTTGGAATGAGATGTCCAAGTCAATACAAAACGCTTCTAGAGAAAATAATGTCTATGGAGATAT